TTACTTAACTGTTTAATACGCTTAAGAAATGTGAATATATTAAAAATGAACGAATTGAAAATATTATATCGTAATATTTGAACGCAATTTCTAAAAACATATGTAAGAAAATAAAATTGACTATAATAATTAAAATGCTATAAATGCTTCTTTTTTTGACAGAGTAAAATTGAATATAATTCCAAATAAAGACAGGCTAATAAACAATATATTTTTCTTCTTTCATATATTTATTATATAGTTAATTACAAGATGTGCTATCTTTTTATCCATTTTTTTTTGTTTTTGCACAATACAAAATTTTATTTTGAAAAAAATAATAAACATCATTACAAAGCAATTATATGTAATTTAATTAATTAATTAATAAAATTATTAATTTATTAATAAAATTATTAATAAATAATTAATAAAATTATTTTTGACATATTCATCATTTTATATATCACACTGTATATAGATACAAATATAGAATAATAAGAAAAAAATTTTGTAACAAAAATAATAATTAAACATGTAAAACGATAAAATATTTTTTAATAATATTAAGTATATTAATAAATGCAAATCATTTTGCATTAAATAGATTACAAATGAAATAGCAGAATTAAATATCTGTGATCAACGTAAAAGTTTATTTCTTGGGAAACGTATCGAGTGGATTCATATTTTATGTATTATTTAGATTTCTTGAAATTTTATAGATATGATTTTTAAAATAGAATATTTCAATTGAAACATAAAATTTATAAAGAAATAGATCTTATTTATTGTTAAAAATAAAATTTTTTATTGTATGTAAATATGAATAATTCTGAAATGTAAAATGTTAAATTATAATTTATATAGGATATTCTTCTTCGTATATTATGAATGTAAATTAAATTAAATCAAAAATTAGATTTATAAAGATATTGCATAATATAAAAACATAATAATGTGTTTATTTAATAAATTTGCTTAATTTATATATATAATATATGATATATAATATATATATAAATTAAACAAATATGTATATACATAATTTTTTTATATATGTAATTTTATTATATTTATTTGCATATTATGCAAATATATTATTTATAATATAAATTTGCATATTATTGCAATTATTCATATTTGTTTTTGAAGATATTACACGTACAAAATAAACTTATAATTAAACTTTAAATTAATTCTTTTTTTTTTTTTAAATTGAAAATTTGTTATAAATTTATATATTTATATTTAAAATAAAATAAAAATATTTTATGAAAAAATAACTGCAATATGAAATATAATATCTCTTTTCTTATTGAAATTACATGTTTGAAACAAAAATTTATTTTATATTAGTGTATGATACATCATTTTTATTTATATTTATAATAAATATAAATTATTTGAATATATTGTAATATATATATATATATATATATGTGTGTGTGTGTGTTGATGTATCTTTGTTTAAGAACATTTGTTTCGATAAATTAAGCATTTTATAAAGAAAGTGGTTACAATAATTTTTAAGAATTTTTTTTAAGTCAAATTATAAGGTATTAGATAAAGTGAAAGAAATTAATTTTTTATATTAATACATTGTTTAATAGAGTTATATTTGTTTAATAGACATATACTTAAATTTAAATAAATTTTAATAAATTGACACAAAACTCTTGTACTATATATAAGCATCTTCATTTAATTCATTAAATTTTTATGCGTTGAGAAATAATTTCTTTGGTTGCAGCATATTCTTATAACTATTTTTAAAAATGTGCTGTATATTTGTGTGCACTCGACAATGTATTAAATGCAATTTTCAAAATGAAACATTGTTTATCAATTATGTAAATAATATTTAAATAAAAAATTTCTATTAGATATGAAAGATATTTTCCACTCGGATCCGTTACACAAGTATGCGCATTCTTATACTTCATAAAATAACATAAAATGTTCAATTCCAGGGCATTGTAAATGGCACTAATTAAATGCAGACAAAATAAAATTAATATAAGGTACATAATTGTACATATTATCTAACATTATAATAAAACAGATTGGTAAAATGTAAGTAAAGATACAAGCGGAAAAATTATTTGAATTATTTTCTCTTATACTCATTTTTTTCTCTGTACTCTTTTTTCTTTTCATTATGTCATATTCTCATTTTCTTTATGTATTTAAATTTTTTTGTTTATATTTTTGCAATATAAAAAAGAAAATTTAATAGATAATTAAAATAGGTACTTTAAAGTTTTGTTATTTTATCAAATATATAAATATATTTATATATATATGTATCTTTTTTAAAATACATATATAAAATAATTATGTAACCATTTAAATAAGTTTTTAAACTGAAATAGAAAATTTTATATATAATAATAAAAAAATTTTTCATTTTCTCAAAAATTAAATACAAGAGAAATAAAACAGGAAAAGGAAAATATTAAAGATTTTGAAAGATTTCTTTAAAAAAAAAATTGATTTCGTATTTAATTTATATATATCTAATGTAATTTATATTTATTGAAAAAATATAAAATTTTTATAACCATATTTTTTATTTTTAAAATCATTATTCAAAATATACGAAGTTTTGTTTTTTTAACATAAAATTTCATTTTTATGATAATAGTTTATAATAATGTGGATTTGTTATTGTTATTATTGTTTCATTTAATAATATATGAAAAATGTTTTTATATATAGTTATAGTATAGTTTTCATCAACCTTAAAGTACCTATATGTATATATAAATCTTTATTTTTTAACTTTAATTATTTTAGTAGTAAAATAATAGTCAATAAAATTATATAAATTAAAATTAATATTAAAAAAGAAAAAAGAAAAGTATTTCTTTTTCTTATCAGAAATATTTGAAATATTTAAATTATAAAAACAAAAAAAAAACTATCATGAGTTCTTCACATTCTTGTTTATGTTAAAAACAAAGTATTATAAGTTTATTTTTTAATTTCAATTATGACTGTTCACATTTACAAATATTAAATTTGAATTTTTATGAAAGTTTATGTACAAAAAAATTAATATGAATCAAAATGAAATTTAACATGAAAAAAAATTATTACTGATAAATTACAAGAGATAAGAAAATTATGCTATTATGCGATTCGTTATTTAATGTACTTTGGCATTGAAATTTTATCAAATTTTCATTAAAAATTTTAAGATTGCATATCCTATTTCTCTCAATAGTTTAAAACAAAATGTAAAAAATTTTCAACAAAAAATAGATAAAATGTACTACGACGCGCGGTATTTACATAGAAGAGAACTCCTCTCCATGTTAATATTATTTTGTTTGTAAATTCATAAATTTTAATAATTATTCAGTTGCAACATTAGATTAAAAATTAAAATTTCTTTTTTTTTTTATTTATATTCATATTCATATTCCATAAGTAGAGAGTTTTTTAAATCATTTAATAAGAGAATGTTTTAATCGTGATAATTATAAATGCTTGTACAATTAATGAGATTATACTCGCTTATATTAATGATGAAAAAATATGTAATAATATTGCACCATATAAATCTTTTATAACTAATGATGTATCTGGTATTATCATTTATCAATAATAAAAATAAGTGCGCAGTATATTATCTTCAGCGCAGTCTTATGTTACATAAAGACATTGCTTTGTAGATCATAGAATTATTTCAATAATTATTATTAATTATTAAACAAAATTTCTTAAATTTAGAATTTATAAATAAAATTTTTTGAAATTCTCTAATTATTTATATATATATTTAGAAAAAATTAATATTTTAAAATGTTAAATTTTTTTAAATCTTTTCATCTTATAATAATTATCAAAATGTATTTAAAATACATATTGAGAAAACAAACATTTTTCATATGATTAATGCTTTATATGATAATGATTTTAATAAAATAAAATACTACATTTTTAATAATGCATCTTAATGTTTGTATAATTCTGAGTTTCATATTTTTTTATAAATATTAATAATAATTATATGCTTTAATTAAAGTTATCATTAATAATAGCGAAAGATATATTTTTATTGAAAAAAAATAGTTATTAAAAAAAAAATCATTATTCAAGATAAAAAAAAATATTAATAATAGAACTAACAGAACTAATAGAAATACTATGGAGTACTCTTCTGTATAATTACCGTAATATTTATCATGAAATGTCGCATTCGAAATATTATATAATAAGATTTTAATTTTAATAAAAATTAAAAAAAATTATGAAATTACAATTGTGAATAAATAAACGATATGATTTCCATGAAGCCAATAAAGTATATAAAGGCCTTCGAGAAACATACTCCGTTGTTATCTACGTAATGTACAGAGAATTCCAGCCCTGCTCTAAATGGTGGTAAAGAGCTTTGTGCTATGTATAATCGTGTGCACTGTATATTTTGCTTTTCTTATCGTATGAAATGCGATTCTCAATGCTGATTCCGCAAAATATACTTCTGTATTTATTATGTTTATATATATTTATATATGAATAATAATAAATAATAATATAATAATGAAATATTTAATTTTTTATTTTTACATCTTTATTTGCAAATAAATATCTTTTATCATTTTATTTTTTTAATAAACATCGTTCTCATAAAAATATATTAAAAGAATGATATTATATAAAATAAAAAAAAAATTTTTTTCTGAGAGCAAATACATAAAATGAAAAATAAATAAATGTGTATAAATATGCAATAAAATTTATTTTATCTATTTTCTTTATTTCAAAAGTTATTTAATATTGAATTTTTTGTAATCGATACTAATATTACAGATTATAGATTTAAATAAAAGATGAAAATAATTTTTTGGATACATTATAATGAATAAAATACGCTAAAGTAATTGTTTTATAAGATGAAAGAAAAGAGAAATACATTAGATAAAGGGAAATATTAATATTATATTGCAACAATTTAATTTTAACATCTCAATGTAATATTTTAATGGTTGTTTTAATTTTCAAATAGAAAACAGACATAGAGAATCCCATTCATAAATAAAATGTTTATGTATATATTATGTATATAGATATATTTTTTATTTTTTTGCAATATGTAAATATTCAATATATTAATATTTATTGCAACATGTTTACGTAAAGTTTGTTGCTTTGCTAAGCAGGAGCTGGTGAGAATATGCGAATAAAATTTCACAAGAATCGAAACACAAAGCAATTTGCGTAGAGTAAATCTGTACAGAGAATAAAATAGTGAGTAATATGGTAGTGTATGGCGGATGTATTGTCTGTTCACTACGCATATCAGCCAGGAAATCAAACGATTATATGTACACTGGAGATTCCTGGCCAGTTAGTAGCCTAAACATCGACGTGGGCATCGTCTTCATTAATATCTGAAACAAAATATACATAGTTCGTAAGTAATATTTGAATTTAACACATAATTTAGATAGATTATTGAATTTACTTTTTATTTAAATATAAATATATATTCTATATTTCTATTTAAATATAACATATATTCAATATATTCATGTTTAATATAAATTATAATAATAATAATATAATAATATAAAATAATTTAATTAAATAAATAATTTTGACATATTAAAATATTCTTATATATTATTATTATTAATTTTATTATATCTTAATTTTATTATTATTAAATATTAAATTAAATGTGAATATGAATAAGATGGCAAAGAATAAATTTAATAAGAAAAAATATTAGATCATTAAATGCAAAAGAAAATTTTATAATAAAATATAATAGAATTTTCAATATAATAGAATATAATAGAATTTTCAATAAATTTTCAACATTTATTGAAAATAATCAATCAATTAATAATTCAATGAATTTGATTAATGTAAAAATTATTACAATTGAAAAACTTATAGAAAAAAAAAAAAAAAAAATGTACGAAGGAAAAACGTTTAATTTGAAAAAAACTTTGAGTGAAGTTAAACTTTAATTGAAAAAATTAAAATAGAGAGACATTATGAAGAGTTTATATTAAAACTAGCTTTTATCTAATTTCAATCATAAGCTCAATTATTATTGATTCAATCATAATTTAATTAGATTTAATTAGATATAGTTTTTTTGAAATATAATTATATATATATATATTATCTTTATTATATTAAAGAAAAATTAAAAAGAAATTAATGATTTTTTAATATTTTTCTCCATCGCTAAGAAAAAATTGATAAGAATTATTTTTGATATCAAATATTATTATGCATGCGTATTCAGATATTTTAAAATTGATAATAAGATTTTTTATATGTATAAAACTAAGAATTTTATATATTATTTTTTGTATTTATTTTTTATTTTATTTTATTTTTTAAGAAAATTATAATATATTTTTATTATATATATATTTTTATATATATATATAAAACATATATGATATTTTTTAATATTTCTTTTATTATATATTATATTATATTTTATAATATTACATAATATTAATAATATTTTAGTTTATTTCTATTGCTTGTTATTTGTCAGTTTTTACACCAATTTACATAGATTATTTTTCAAAAGCTAAATGAATATTATAAATAATTGAAGAAACTCATATCATAAAAAAACTATCGGTTTTTTTAGAATAAAAAAAAAATATTTTAAATAAATTAAAATTTTAATAAATTAATAGAAAATATTTTTAAGAAAATATTTGTAATTTGAATTATATTAAACATTATTACATAAATATTGTAATTATTATTGTTATATAGCACTATAATTATTATTTTATAATTATTACTGTTCTATAATACTATAATTATTATTTCTAATATTATATTGCAATAGAAATATATTTAATTAAATCATGAATTTATGATGAATTTTATGACTGCAATTGAATAAATTTTTATTGCATTATGTCGATGTTTCAATTTATATAAGGAAAGAATTTGAACAAATATTGAATTTTACATGTTTATGAAATTTATTATGTGATATGCAACATAACTTTTCAAAAAATATAAATTAATATTTTTAATTAATATTTCTACTTTTTAATAATACAAAATTTATATATTTATATTTTGAAAAATATTTACATTATTGTTTTAAGATATTTATATATATATGAAAATATTTTAAAAAAGAGATATGTATATCTTCATGTGTAGGATATATATATATATATATATATATATATACAGAATATTCATAAAAAATGTATTTCGATTTACTCTCATGGACTTTAACAAATATATGCATAATATATTATAATGATTCACCTATAAAAATTATAACGATTTATCTATTTGATTTAAATTGAATATTATAGAATGCTGAATATTTTGCAATTTATTGTAAGATAAATTTGTTTAAGATAAATTTTTGTTAATAATAAATTATTAAACTACTTATTACAGATTATATTACACTAAAATTCCAAAATAGATAATTGTTTATTTAAAAATATAAATTTGTCGTTTTTTTGTTAAGGAGCTCTATTATACAAGCATGAAAAAATCAATATTAAGCGGTCGTAGCATAAATTTATATATATAATATATATTTGTAAATTATGATGATGATATACATATAAAAATAAGTTGAAAAATAGAATAACATTTTTTTCATTTAATTTTTTATATTTTAATTTTATTTTTAAATAAATTAAATTTCAAAATTTTTTAAATATATGTGAAATTGAATTTCTTGATTGGATATGAAAGAATTATTGTAGCTTTTCATAAACAAATGAAAATAAAAAAAAATATATAATAAAATTTTAATAATAAAATATATAATAAAATCGTTTATATCCTCTTTTATGTTTTTGAGAAAAAAATTAAATATTTACAAAATAAATAGTTAAGATATGTAATAGTTACAGTTATATAAATATAAATATAAATATTATATATTATATAAATATATATATAAATAACAAATTTTCGAATTTAATTTTTAAATGAAATTTATATTTTTTTATTTTTATATGTTATCTTCTTGATTATTCATTTGTTAGGAAATTAATTGTTTTATTCGTATTTGAAATTTTTTCAAATTTAATTTACCTGAAAACGAAACTTTGAAAAAAAAATTTTTTTTTTTTTTATTTTTGCAGAATTATTATCCGGCTGTTTGTGATTTTGAAATTCTGTATACATATATATTTATTTTCTCTTAATATATATAGAATATTAATATATTCGTAGATCATGATTGAAAAATTGATTTTAAAGAACAACATAATATACAATATATTATGTTAATATACAAAAATTAATATATCAAAATAGTAACAGAATGAAACAATGATAGAATAAAACGGTGACGGAAGTAGCACAATTTCATTTTATTTTCATTTCATTTAATATAAATACATATATATGTAATGTAATATAATACATATACATATATATGTAACTTGAATTATTTAAATTAATAAGTTTCAAATGAAATTTTTAATGAATTTTATAGTAATCTTTTGTGTTTTGTTTTTTAAATGTTTAAAATTAAAAGTATTTCAAATATATTAATATCTTACATATGTATTACATATAATACATATGTCATCTATATATATAAATGACATATGTATCTATATATAAAATATAATCTAAATATTTTTTATTAAAAAAATTTATTAAAAAAATAAATTCATTTTGAAAAGATTTAGATGTTATAACTTATATATATAAATGTTATAACTTATATAACTTGTATAACGTAACTTATATAATATATAATATATTAATATATTAATATATAATTATACTTATATAATATATTATAATATATATTATATATATNATAATATATAATGCATATATAATGTATATCCGATAATGTTTAAATATTAAAAAAATAACTTTGTAATGAAGTGAATATATTATACTAAACAAATTAATTCTAGAATTTCGTTATAACATTTGTTTATTATAGCATACTTTGAAAGTATATTTAAAATTATATTTAAATATTTAAAATATTTAATATCTACAATTTAAGTTCATTATGTACAGTAAAATTAAAAAATAATTATTTAATATAATAATTAATTATTTAATATAATAATTAATTTAATATAATAATTAATTATTTAATATATATATATATAATAATTTCATATTAAAAAGAAGATAGTCGAAATTTAATTTTTAAATTTGCCAATTTCAAATTCAAAAATTTATGAGATCTCAAAATCCAGAATATTTTTTTTTTCTTTTTAATATCCGTTTTCAAGAATTGATATTTTAAAAAATTTAATTTTTCAAATTCTTTAAATTGAGATTTGCAATCAATAATAGATGATTTTTAACATATTATTATCTTAATAATAATAGTTTAATCTATTTTATTAATGAAATCATATGTTTAAATATGAAATAAATATGAAATTTAATACAAGTAATTTTGAAACATTTATTAAACATTTACGTATATCAATAATTTTTAATAATAATATTTTAGTTTTTATTTAATTTTAATATTTTAATTTAAATATTTTACCAATTTTGTTAAATTCTTTGCTGATAGGTACGTCCACTTATAATATTTTATTCAAGTATAGAAAATGTTTTTCTCAAAATAGTAAAATTTATATTTTTTTTTAAAATCATATAATTGAAAATATAAATCATTATGTTTTGTTGCAAGTAGAAAAGAAATATATATGATTTGTAGAATTCCATTTATCTGAATATATTAAATATTTATTTAATATATTTATTTAATATATAAATATTTGAATAAAAAATATAACATATTATATATTATATTATATTATATATATATATTTTTTAAATATTATTCTTTTAGATTTTAGAAGATGAGAAAATTGAAAAATTGTTAAGAAGGATATACATAATGTAAATATATTCATACGATATTTTTAAAGAATCTATTCTACAAATTCTACAAAAGTTAGTAGAAAAAATATCGATTGAAATTTATTTATTAATTATTAAGCATTATTTAAAATTTATTGATTATTAATTATACTGATTGAAATTATTATTATACTGATTTTAATAGAAGTTATTATATTTTTATACTTAATTATAAATTAATAATTATTTCTTTTTTATTGCAATACATATTTAATTCTTTAATAATTTAAAAATTAAAAAAAATAAATTATAAATAATAATTATAAATAAATTACGAATAATTTAAAATTTATAAGGTATTTATTATTTTTCTATATTTTGAGTTTGAAAATCAATAAATAAGTCTTGCATGTAATCAAAAAAATAAAAAATATTTATTAACTATTAAATATTGGAGATTGTTTTTAAATAAAAACAAAAGACGAAAAAATGATAATAGAATTTTCTGATCGATAATATTATACATGTTAAAAAAATTAATATTTTAATTTGTGATATTGTGCTGCAGCTTTACTTCTGCATAATATTGTAAATGTATAGTGCATAAATATATTCAAAAGAGTGTTACTAATTGATTTAATATTTTAAAAGTTTAGAAATATATACATTTAAAAATAGTATTAATATTGTTTTGATTATATTTTTTGTATTATTAAAATATATATATATATAAAAATATTTTTTTCTCTTGTTTTTATAATAAATAAAACTAATTTAAATAAAAAAATTGAAACATTTTTTAATCACATTTCGAAATTTTATTAAATAGCAAAAGGATTAATGATTTATCAATGCTTGAAAACCAATATCAATTAATATCTCCTAATATCAAAGTGTTGATTCCAAACAAAATTCTAAAGTTAGAAATTAAAAATTTAATTATCATTGATTGAATTCACTTATTTGAATATGAATAAACTCTTTATTATACAAATAAAAATATGAAATATTTTTCATCTCTCGAAAGATTCAGATAATATTGTAACTCTATTGTAAATTAAAAAGAAATTCTACATACCTCACCAACAGATGTGGCAAGAAGATTGACGATTTTCTCATGCGGTACAGCAACAACACTTTGATTGTTGATTTCAATAATTCTGTGACCCACTCGAACACCTCCTCTTTCAGCGATTCCACCTCTCAATAGACTACATATTACTCCGTTTTGTACACTAAATCCTAACTGATATTTGGTGTCAGGTCTTTTGATTTTGACTTCAACTACTGGTGCGCACGGAACGACAGTTAACTTGACAACTGTCTGATTCTTTGAGTTTTTGATGTAAGTTTGACAAGTAGAGAGAGGCAAGCCAACTAACGAAACACCATTTATAGCTATTATCTGATCACCAATATTTAATTGTCCACAACGAGCAGCCGCACCAGCTGGTGCCAGATTTGCAATTACAACAGTTGGTAGCATAGAACCCCATCCAGATTCGACAATTACCACACCTAAAATTTCACCTTTTGCCTTAGGTACTACAACCTATAAATATAATAACGAAATATTTTTTAATTCTGAAAAATGAAAAGAAATTGCTTTTTTATTTAGTTTTTATTAATTAAAAACTATTATTCATTATTATATTTAAATATATTTATATATAATTATTTTATAAAAATAAATAAAAATATTAACATAAATTAAATTTTTATATCAATTTATAAAATTTAAAATAAATATTAAAATAATAATAATAAATTAATTTATCTATTTTTTAATAAAATAATTTTTTAAAATATAATTTAAACAATATTAAATTAAACAATATTAAAAATAAATTATAAAAAAAATAAATATTTCTAATCAAAATATTTCTAATGAAAATGATCTAATCAAAATGAAATGATATCATTTCATATTATATTAGGTTAATCACAATTAATTCTTCTTTTCCACAAATTTGAAAATTTTATTTATTTGTTTATTCTTACATATATTATCATTTTGTCTTTGAAAAACGCGTTAAACAAAAGAATTAATTGCGATTAATCTTTTTTTATATTATTAATGGATATTCCATACAGGATGTTATATTTATACGCGAATGAGAATATCTTATAAGGTATTAAATTTATTAAAATAATTTCTTATAAAAATTATTTTGTATAAAAGGATACATTATGTGATATAAATAGTTTTTGTTTGAATGAAATAGTGAAAAAGATTTAAAAATCAAAACAATTTTTTTAAATAATATACTATAGTTTTTTACTTATTTGAAGAATAAAGTTAAAAAATAAGTTAATTTTGAACATTGAGTAAATATTGAGATGAATTCAACGATCAATTATATCATATTATTTCATGTAGCAAAATTAATAAAATCGAAATTGTCAATATGTATAACTATTTAATATAGTTAGCTGAACATCTTGTCGCTTCAAATTACGTATTTTTTTGTATCAGACCGATTTAAATTTTATCCAAACTTACTTATTATGAAAAGATATCTGTTATAATAAAAATAAAAAAGAAAAAATTATTTCAGATAATATTAATAATAAATTTTAATAATATTTTTGACAATAAATAAAATGTAGTATTAGTTGCAAAAATTTTTTTCTTATGGAATTATTTAAAAAATTTTTCAAATATAAAATTAACGAATTATATTTAAAAATTATAATTGTATTCAAAAAAATATCAGAAAGAATATTGAAAAATGTGAAAAAATAATTTTTAGAAAGACTATATTTTTAATAATAGTAGATAGTTAAAGAAAAATAAATAAAAAAATAATTATTAAATTTTAGTTATTACGATCAATAATGGAAAGTGAAAATTAAAATTTATTACTAATATCATCTGAAACGATTTATATCCTTTTTTTCTTTATTTTGCTAAAAAAATCATAATTAATCTTTCAATAATAAATAATTATATAACGATATATAATAAATAATATAATAAATATATATTAAATTTATAAAATTTAAATCAGTTTAGCACAAGAAAATAATAGAGTCACAATTTGAAGCAAAGAAAACATTAACTTACATTAATTTTTATTATATGACATAATATAACATATAAATAGTTTTTGTTTGAATGAAGTAGTGGAAAAGATTATAAATCTTTATAGATTATAAATAAAAAAAATCAAATTTTTTTAAATAATACACTATAATTTTCTACTTATTTGAAGAAGTTGGATTCGTCAATATAACACTCGTTATAATATATAAATATATAATAAATATGAATAAATATAAAATATCAGTTAAAAAAATTCTGATTTTTGAATTTCTTTCACTATTCATTTATATAAAAATAATTTATTCTATATTAATATATCTTTTTATATCAAATAACTTTTGTAGAACACATTTTTTTAGATTTCAATTTTTTGAGATTTTATATTCAATCATTTATATTTGAATATAATTTAACACTTTATATATATTTGTATAGAAAATTTAAATATGAATTAATTCTGCAAAAACATTAACAGTCATATATCATTTTAATCGATACATATTTTTTTTTAACTAAATATAAATATTGATATACTTAAATATTTAATGTTTGTATATAAATAATATAAATAGAAAATATTTAGAATGAATATACAAATATAACATATTAAAATATTAATATTTAATTAATTGATTATTAAATATAATTTAATATTCATTTATTCAAATTTATAAATTAAATTTATAAATTCGAAATGAAAAAAAATAATGTATAAAAATTTTGTATTAAAAATGTATTAAAAATTCCTCAAAAAAAAACGAATATTGTAATAATTTATATAAAGTATACTAATATTTATATTTCATTAAAAACTATTCTAAATTTTAAATTATGATTAAATTTTAGATTATAAATAAAGAAATAAAATAAAAAATTATTTCTTTTTTATAAATTAAATTATAATAATTATAATAAATTAATTCATGATTTATAAAAAAAGTTTTGTGCTAATATTTTTTTCAAAATTATAATATATATAATCATTACAAGATATATTTAAAAATATTTAATTTTTGTATTTTAGTTTTTATAATTTATCAGGCTATTTTCATATATATTAAGCTTATGAATTTATGAAATTAAATATAATATATATAAAATTATATATAAAAATTATTAAATTACCTCTTTTTGCATTTCTTTTTTGGCAAACATTTGTAGTTCATCACCAAAGATTTCTTGAGAATTGAGTACCTCCTGATAATCCATTTCTTTTACAAAACTATGATCTTCTATTCCATTCGCTTTAAGGAATTCCATGTATGCTACTTGAAATGCTTGTCCAATACTTTGTGCAATGAATCGAGCCTCTTCACTTTCAAACACGTGACAAATCATTTTTGGAGTTCTGTTGATTTTTGGTGCTTCTTCCATTTCGTGCGGTACAAAACGTCTTCGTGCCATTAGGACTACTACATCGCCAATATCTGCTATATATGATATTGTTCTTAATGCGTGGTCCATCATGATTTCTTTCAAATCCGTATTTAAAACCATTATTTTTTCTGTTGAGATGAATAAGTCAACTTCTGTACTTGGTTGTGTTTCGCCATCCGGTGCCTGTATGTATATATTTTTATATTTGAATAACATATTTGAAATTAAAAGATTTAATTTAATAAAATTAAATTCTATTTTACATTAAATAATAAATTAAATAATAATAAAGAATGAATATGAATATTAAAAGTTACGCTTGTTATTGAAGAAGTATAATTGATTTATAAACAAAAATTAATTTAAAAATTAAGAAATTAATTATCGATCACTTATTTATATATATTTTTATATTACACTATCAATGGAAACTTTAAACATCTGAAAAGTAATAGTATTAATTATTCTCTTAAAAACAATTGTTATAAAAAAACGTTAAATGAAACTTATTTATTGAGACAATTAAAAAATATCTATAATTTTGCAAGTTTACATTTCTTTTTAAAATTTTGTTTAAATTTAAATTATTAATTACATTATTAAATTATTTATTATATTATTTAAATTTACATCTTTTTAATAAATTTTTTTTATTAATAATATCTGATAATTATACAAAAAAAAATCATTGATTTCAATAATGAAATATATTATGTTATGTATATTATCAGGAATAATATTTAGAACAACTATTTAAATATATATATATTGAAAAATTATATTTAATTACATTAAATATATAATAAATATATAATAAATATATGTCAATTTTAGTTTTTGAAATATCGATATATTTAATATTGCACACAGTTTAGTGTTTAAAAGATTCAATTTAAGAATTTTAACTTTAATTTTAATTTTAATTTTAAGATGTAATGATCATTTTCCTAATTAATAAGACAACAAATATATAAATAAATTTTTTTCATTTAAAGGTTAGTTTTCAAAAAAATTGAATTAGAAAATTCGCTGATTACACAATTTTAACTATAAATGTTTTAATCTCGATTTTCTCAAAAATAAAGATATAAGTGATAAAATTCTATTCTATATTTTTTGTTTATTTTCAGATTGAATTATTAATTCTTATTAATAATTTATCATCTAATTGGAAAATAGTCATTTGTATTTTTTTAAATCTGATTTTTTTAAAAATTAAGAAAATAAAATTTTTTATTAATATTATTTAAATTAATTAATTATTTAAATATTTAAATTTTTAATTTATTCTAAAATATTTTATTTGTAATATTATTATACTTTTATCTTCTAAAGTATAATGATTAAAAATAAAAAATATATTTATGTAAAAATTTATATAATATCTTTTCATTTTTTTAATAATTTTTAAGTTTACAATAGAGTTTTACAATAGAGTATATATATATAAGTTTACAGTTTATTCTACATCTTACATTATATTAAAACACAATTATACTATTCAATTATATCATTTATTAAAAATTATGTTCTAAAAATATTAAAATGTGTGCAAAAATTCTATAAATATAATTTTTATTTTTAAATATCTATTTTATTTTATATTACTACTTTTTTTATTAATAAAAATTAATAAATATTAATTATTTATAATTATTATCAATTTATTAAATATTGAAAAATTAAAATGGTAATAAAAGAATACGTACCAATGCCTATTATGAAGAAGCGGCATGTAGAATAAAGTAAGAAAGTCATTAATTAATTAAAATGAGTGATATTTTATATTAATAAAAAGGAATAAGAAAAGATGCTGTAAATTTATTGTTGATGATTCGTTTAAGATTAATTAACATGAAATAATGTCCAATATTGAAAATGCAATTTTTAATAAGTTGTGAAGGAATTATATCTATATTTATTTTTTTTATATTAATAAACTTGAAATGCAAAATTTCTGTAAACCTGAGAGTTTAATAAGAAAATTTAATCAAATTTATTATACATATAATTATGAAAAATATCATATATTAAAAATATATATTAAAATATATTAAAAATATTTTATTTAAATAATCATGTTATATATATTTTCATTGACAACGAGTAACAATAGGTAATTTCTAGCTAAAAATTATTAATCTATCAAAGAAATATTGTCTTTTAAAATCATATATTTATTTTTTTCTTTATTTATTTCATATATTAAATTAAATTTATTAAATACTTCATTCATATATTTTTTGATCATTTGCATATTGCAAATTAATTAGTTGATTTAGGACTATATTATGAATTTCATTTGTAAAATAAATTATTTACTAAAATTTTATAAATGTTTTTTATTTTTTATTATATTTATTATTTTTTTGTAAATAAATTCATTTTGTTAATATATGTTTATATGTGTATGTCATATTCTTGTTTTAAAATCTTGTAACATCGAATATTTATTTTTTTCGAAAACTAAATATAAAATTGTTTCTTAATAAATTAGCAATGAAAATGGAAATCATTGTTTATCAAAAATACTGTAAAGATATTCATATAATAAAATTATAATAAAAATAATAAAATTTATAATAATATATAATATATTATAATTATAATTTATATAATATTATAATTTATAATTTATATAATAAACTATATTATATTAACAAATAAAAAAAAAGAATTTTAGTAAATAAAAATAAGTACCTGTAACGTGATTAAAATTGATAAAAGAACGAAATAATAATTGATTAATTTTAAATTGTCAATAAAAAATTTTTTATATATATATTTATATTATAAATATATTTTATATATATATTGTATATATATTTCTCTACATTTTAAAAAATATGAAATAATCACTTATTTGGGAAATAATGAAAAATTTTTTATAAAAGATATGTCTGAACATTAAATAAATAAATAATAATTAAATAAATCTCAAAAATTATATATAAATATTTTATTATTATTTTTTTTATAAAATAACTTATTAATAAAATAATCATTCATATTATTTAAGAATATTCCTCTTAAATTATAATAATACGAAATATTTATATTTTATATTCGATATAAAAATAATTAATAATCGGTTTATCAATTTGGAAAAATCTTGAAATTTTTTAAAATCTGTAAAAATATATTATAAAAATGTTTCGTAACTATATTAAAAATTTTCTAATTTCTATAACTATTTTTTAATAAAAATTAAAATCTGTTTACATATTTGTATACACATTATATATACACATTAAACATAATAAAATTTCTGTTTTTTATTTACTTTATATTTAATCAATTTTTGATATAAGTTTCATGTAATACTAAATAGATATTAATGATAACATAAAAATAAAATTAAAAGATGAAAATATACTATTTTATGTGGACATATAATATATATAGTATAAACTATATATGTACATAGCACATAAAAAATAATATACAACATAAATAGATTGTAATTTATTATATATATACATTAATAATATGTATATGATTACATTTTAATATTATATAATATGTAATAAAATGCCAGCAACAAGATGATTTCTGAGATGATTTCAAGCAATATTTTCCTTTAAGAAAATTTTCATTATAAAATATAATTTATAATAAATATAAAATATATATATAATTTTCCTTTAAGAAAATTTTCATTATAAAATATAATTAACAATTATATTTTAATATTTTATTATAATTATACATGATAATTTAAAATATAAAAGTTCAAATATATCTTTAAAATTATTAACAATTATGAGTTTATTAAAAAAATTGTTAAAAATATATTAAATATGCATTTAATTTAAATATCTCTTACTATATAAAAAATGATTCGATCGTGAAGTAATCATTTTCATATTAATATAACAAAATATAAAATTTTTAAATATAAAATTCTAAAATAATTACTCTATTCTAATAGTTAGTATTATTATTCTAACAGATCAAGTTTGATTTTTTTTATTAATATATTTATATAAATGTACTATTTCAAAGAATAATCAATATATTAATTATAAAAATTATCTAAAATTTTTTTTTTTGATCTTAACTTATTATAATATTAATATAAAGTTGGCGAATAAATGTTTATTAAATTTATATTACATCATAGCGATTTATATTAAATCATACCGATGTTGAAAAGTCTAAATTTTTTATATTTTTTTTTATTTACTATAAAAATATATAACTATTGGCTATATACAATTAAAACCAATAATTAATAACGTTAATAATTTTCTAATAACGTTAATTTTAATAAACATTTTTTATATTTTGTTATGATAAATTTAAATGATAAATTTTATACTAACTTTTATTAATTATTAAAGTACTTCTATTGATTATTAGTTTTCTTTAGTAATATATACATACACACAAATACATACATATATTAATAATTTGTGTTTCCTTTTTTTGTTTTAATTACAGCATGTATCTTTTCCGATATGCTCTATATACATTGTTTTAATATATTTTTTATTTTTAGATGATTTTATTAAAATTCGATTTTTCATCTTTAAATTAGGTAAGTGATAATTTGTATACAAGTAAATTCCGGATATTTTCAATTGGATTCATTCGAAAAATTTGTCTGGTTACAGGAATTTAGTAAAAAATAATAAGATATTATTAATATTCCTAATATATACCTAATAATATATACATTATTAATATGTATGTGGAAAATTATTAATTAATAAAATTTGCAATTAAATTTTGTTTAAGCCTTAAATTTTATTAAAAAAAAAAATATTGATATTTATGAATGATTTTAATTTTTTGATCAAGGACTATATTAAAATTCTTATATAACTTTTTATGATCAAAATAATATAAAATAATTAAATATTCTACTAAAAAATATTTCATATTGTTATTCAGCTATATTATTATATATGAAATTATAATGTCCGAATCTTTTATTTTACAATAATTTTCATATATAACTTTCATATAAGCTATATTGAAAATTCGTTTCGAATTTTCATGTCTTCGATTTTTGATGATAAAATAATAAAAACTGATTTATATGAATTTTTATTCCCTTATAAATGGCCACGATATAACATTGGCCATGATATAACAGCTAAAATAAGAATCTGACTAAGAAAAAATATATTTTATTTTAAAAATATAATATAAATAGAGAATAAGTAGTATATATTTGCAATAATTAAATAATATACATAAAGATTAAAATTCATATTAATTATTTTAAAATTTTTTTATTATTTTAGAATTTTCAAAGCAAGAATTAAATTGCTTAATTAAAAAAATTTTAAAAATATTTATATTTTTCTGAATATTTATAATTCTTTATATATACAAGAATAATAAAAAAGATAAACTAATTTATTATTTTGAAAATGCCTATTAAGATAAATATTTACTAAAAATTTTTAAAGCATTATATTTAATCAAAAGATAATATTTAATCAATTGAAAAATCTGATAAAGAAATAGAATATTTAATATTAATTTATATATAATAAAAATCGTATTAAATAAAATTAATAAACATAATAAACTCACATTTTGTAAATAATTTAAATAACAAAATAATAAAAATTTTATCTTTTAATAATAGAAAGATTAACTTATTTTTTAATATATTTTTTAAATATATTAAAAATATATTTAATAATTTTATAATATATTTTTTAAATTATTTTAAAATTTCTTTTTGCATTGTAAAGATAATTCAATATCAATATTATGGTTTATTAAAAATAGGAATATAAATAGAAAAAACCAAGATTAAAAGATGGCAAAAATAATAAATAATTTAAAATCTATTATCATAAATTTTATCAATAGATGATGCAAAATTATAATTGAAGTATATATATCCTATCAATATAGATATGTAAATAACTTTTATATAATAATAATTTTTCGATAATCTAAAATAAATTAATGCTTTAGTAGTTTTTAAATGTAACAATAATTATTATGTTTAATATTTTTTTAATGAAAATTTGTAATTTAATTCTAAATAATAATCGGGGCAATAATTGTAATGTTAATAGAGTTAAAACTAACGTTATTATTGATTCTAGCTGATGCAACTTTTATACAATCATGAAATATTATATTTCCAATATTTTTATAAAATAAAATCAGAATCTAAAAGAAATAAAAAAAAAAAAGAAAATAGAAAGCTATGTAATCCAAAGAAAGGAAAAAATTGTAAAAACAACAAGAACAAAAGTGTAGAATTTTATGAAGAAGATAAAAAGTATTATCTTCTATGTATTGATTCATATATAGAGCTGTTTACAAAAATATTTGAATAATTCGAACAATGTACATTTAACTTTAATAATTTATATCTTTATTAATTATAGAAAAACTTATTTTAACTTGTTTCTAGAGTATTGTATTGTATAAATATAAGCAATTTATTTAATTAATTTGATATAATAAAATAATATTAAATATTAAATGAAATTATATATATATATTTTTCCCATTAAAAAATAATCGAATATTTAAAAATTTATAATAAAACTAAATAATAATTACAATTAATAATTATAATATAATGAAAATGGCACTTAATTATATTTTTAAGTTGAAAAAAAGGAAAAATAATTATGATTTCATTTTTAATATTTTTAATATTTATATCTTTATTATAACTTAACTTTATTATATCAAATTAGTTAAATGATTATTTATATTTGTAAAATACAATAAA